CCCCAAAACCCCAAAACCCCAAAACCCCTCAAATCATAATCAAAAATGACAAGAATAAGTAGTTTTAGTGATTTATAAAGCTCTAAATTATTAATAAAGATTTAAATGAGTGTAAATAGATCAAGCTTTAAGCAGGAGGACTAACTATTCTATGGAGTTCATCCTGATGGTATTTTAGAGGTCAAGTTCAATAATCCATCAAAGAAAAATGCTTGGACTAAGGACACTTAAGTTAGACTTACTTAAATCTTCAAGCAAGCTAATAAAGATGATAATGTTAAGGTTGTGTTTTTACATGGAGGATCATATTACTCTAGCGGTAATGATTTGAGTGCTTTTGGCAAAGCTTTTTCATCTGGTGATGTCAAATAAGCAATTAAAGATGCGAAATATGGGGCTACGGTTGTTATGGTTGAAATGCTCACAGCTGTAATGGATTGTGAAAAGCCTTTAGTATGTATGATCAGCGGGGCAGCCTTTGGAATAGCATGCACCATGACAGCTTTAGCTGATTTTATCTATTGTACTCCAGAGGCCACATTCAACTCTCCATTTATGTCTACTTTCTAATCTCCAGAAGGAGGATCTACTGTAACATATCCGCTTTAAATGGGGAAAAGATTAGCTTCAGAAGTGCTCTTTACAGATAGACCAATTACTGCATAAGATGCCCTTCAAATTGGATATATCAATGCAATCCTAGATCCTAAGGAAGTATTCACAGCAGATGGAAATTTCTTTGACGTCACCAAGATTCCATGCATACCTAAGTTACTTAAAAATGATTTAAAGACTATGATGAACGCAAAAAAGTTGATTACGCAAGGTATGAATAGAGAATTTATGATTGAATGCTTTAAGAGAGAGGGCAAAGCTCTCTTTGATAGATGGATGGATCCAGATTTTCTACCTAATATTATGAAGGTAATTTCAAGTAATGCTGAGAAGTCAAAGAAGGCAGGAGGAGCAGGAAATGGTAAACCTAAGCTTTGAAGAATTGATTATTCTCAATTTAATATCAAAAGTTTTTATTCAGAATTTCATTACTTTATTCTTAGATGCGGGGTTTTGGGGTTTTGGGGTTTTGGGGTTTTGGGG